TGACAACACTCCTCCCCACACCCAATCCCCCACACCTCGCTGACATCCTCCCCACACCTACCCCAGCTGACAACACTCCTCCCCACACCCAATCCCCAGCACCACACTGACAACACTCCTCCCCACACCCAACCCCCAGCACCACACTGACAACACTCCTCCCCACACCCCCACCCCCCAGCACCACACTGACAACACTCCTCCCCCAACACTCCTCCCCACACCCAACCCCCAGCACCACACTGACAACACTCCTCCCCACACCCAACCCCCAGCACCACACTGACAACACTCCTCCCCACACCCAACCCCCAGCACCACACTGACAACACTCCTCCCCACACCCAACCCCCAGCACCACACTGACAACACTCCTCCCCACACCCAACCCCCAGCACCACACTGACAACACTCCTCCCCACACCCAACCCCCAGCACCACACTGACAACACTCCTCCCCACACCCAACCCCCAGCACCACACTGACAACACTCCTCCCCACACCCAACCCCCAGCACCACACTGACAACACTCCTCCCCACACCCAACCCCCAGCACCACACTGACAACACTCCTCCTTACACCCAACCCCCAGCACCACACTGACAACACTCCTCCCCACACCCAACCCCCAGCACCACACTGACAACACTCCTCCCCACACCCAACCCCCAGCACCACACTGACAACACTCCTCCCCACACCCAACCCCCAGCACCACACTGACAACACTCCTCCCCACACCCAACCCCCAGCACCACACTGACAACACTCCTCCCCACACCCAACACACAGCGCCACACTGACAACACTCCTCCCCGCACCCAACACACAGCGCCACACTGACAACACTCCTCCCCACACCCAACACACAGCGCCACACTGACAACACTCCTCCCCACACCCAACACACAGCGCCACACTGACAACACTCCTCCCCACACCCAACACACAGCGCCACACTGACAACACTCCTCCCCACACCCAACACACAGCGCCACACTGACAACACTCCTCCCCACACCCAACACACAGCGCCACACTGACAACACTCCTCCCCACACCCAACACACAGCGCCACACTGACAACACTCCTCCTAACTCCCAACTACCACCCATTACTAAATACCTTAGACCCACTAACACCCATCACTTAATTCTGTAGACTCTCTACCACTCACAAGCAACACTCTAGACCAACTACACCGCTCCACTCTACAGCCTAGACACACTACAACTCTCCTCTCAACACTCTAGACCAACTACACCGCTCCACTCTACAGCCTCTAGACCAACTACACCGCTCCACTCTACAGCCTAGACACACTACAACTCTCCTCTCAACACTCTAGACCAGCTACACCCCTCCACTCAACACCCTAGACGCACTACAACTCTCCAATCAAAATCCTTGACCAACTAGGGAGCCGGTCGGCCGAGCGGACAGCACGCTGGACTTGTGATCCTGTGGTCCTGGGTTCGATCCCAGGCGCCGGCGAGAAACAATGGGTAGAGTTTCTTTCACCCTATGCCCCTGTTACCTTGCTGTAAAATAGGTACCTGGGTGTTAGTCAGCTGTCACGGGCTGCTTCCTGGGGGTGGAGGCCTGGTCGAGGACCGGGCCGCGGGGACACTAAAGCCCAGAAATCATCTCAAGATAACCTCAAGATAACTACAATGATTCAAAGAGAAACATCTGCGAGATAATTGCAGGCAAAAATTCACATAGCTAAAGGGGCAGAAGCCGGCCTGGTCTCACAATGACTCCAAGGGTAAGGATGAGGAACTATTTCACAAGTGGAGTGATGCAGCATCCTCCTCCTCCTCCCTCCCTGCAGAAATAAGCAGGGAACAGCTCCTCCGACATAATGACCGAAGAATTAGGCTAACAAGTGCACAGTCTAATGATGACGAGTGTGGGCAATCAATCACAGTTTAGAAAGTAAGGGGGGGGCTATGAAAAAGGGTAAAAGATCAGTGCCTGATGAAAATGGAATCACCTACTACATACTCTATGCACTGTGTGAGGTGTCTGCGAATCCACTACTCCACCTGTTTAACAAATCATTCCTCAGTGGAGTGTTGCCCACACAATGGAAACACAATATTTTTTCCCATACCGATGCCCAATGACCCTGGTAATTACAGACCTATCAGCCTCATGTCATGCACATGCAAAGTGCTTGAGAGGGTCATCCTAAACCGACTGTTCCACAAAATAGGCAGGTTAGGGGAGGGGGTCAATGGATTTGTTAAAGGACGGAGCACAGCATATTGTATTGTAAATTACTTGGCTAATGACACAGCTTAAAGGGGCCTTCAACAAAGCACAGAGGATTGCGATCCTGGACGAGCTTGCATGCATGGGTGTCAAGTGGAGACTCATGGAATGGACTTTCCTCACAGGGTGGAAAGCCAAGGTCTGCTTCAACGGAGCAATCTCGAGAACAATGACAATGGAACTCGTGACCCCCAAGGAGGGGTTTTATGCAGATGTTGTCCTAATACAAGCTCCCACCTTGCGAATAATTATACAGTCCATTGAACTCCTTGGAAGGAAATGTGTTGAACTCGGTTTCACTCCACCAACAAGACAAAAGCTTACTCTCATCACAAGCGGGGAGAAAATGAAGAACTACAAATTAATGGAATAACAATTGACTCAGGGCACTGAAAGCTATGACCTGGAATGGGTACGGGGTTATCTTGAGATGATTTCGGGGCTTTAGTGTCCCCGCGGCCCGGTCCTCAACCAGGCCTCCACCCCCAGGAAGCAGCCCATGACAGCTGACTAACACCCAGGTACCTATTTTACTGCTAGGTAACAGGGGCATAGGGTGAAAGAAACTCTGCCCATTGTTTCTCGCCGGTGCCCGGGATCGAACCCGGGACCACAGGATCACAAGTCCAGTGTGCTGTCCGCTCGGCCGACCGGCTCCCTAGGCTAGGTAAAAGGAGCATCAGGGTGAAAGAAACTCTGCCCATTGTCTCTCGCTGGCGCCCGGGATGGAACCCGTGACCACAGGATCACGCGTTCAGTGTTCTGTCCGGTCAGCCACCGGCTCCTGTGGCCTCCTGGGCCTCTATTACCGTGTTTAAAATTATGTACACAGCCTATGTCGTTCCATCATAGACTATGCTGCACCAGTTTTGTGCACTTATTCCCAAAGCGATATGAAAAAAAAACTTGAAAGCATACAAAATGAAGCCATGACAATCATTGTTGGAGTCCCAAGAACTGCCAAAACATCAAATCTACGAGAGGAGTTGTCCCTCCCCAGTGTTAAAAAGCAGAATTAAAGAACTGAATGCAAAGCTTGCAATTAAAATAGCCAGAGATCCCCATTACAATGATATGGCCAAGAAAAACACGAGTTTTGTGCTACTTACAGGAGGCAACAGGAGAAGCAAAAAATGTCATCACAGATCAGTCTGCTACCTCGTAGAACATCACCTGCTTGAGCAGGCCCGTGAGCTCATGCCTGTAGAGAGGTTACCTCCCTGGGTGGATGACCCATGCAAGATTATCATCAATAAAATGGCAAAGAAAAAGTCCAACATGATAACTCAAGAAATGAGGCACAATTATTTTAAGGAAATCTATCAAAAAGCCGGAAATGAATTAGATCAAATCTTACACTGATGGGTTATCTAACAGTCAATGGTAGGGCTGGTGCACTGTAATTAGGAATAATGCCTTTCAATGCGAAAATGTAGGAAAAACACACATTGAGAACTGTGCCCCTTCAACGCAAGCGTAGCTAACTGTCATTGTGATGGCTTTAAGATCCCTTGACCGAAACACTAATGGTGCAGTGATCTGCACTGATTCTAAAGCAGCGCCACAAAGCCTTAGTAAAAATCAAGCAGAAAATCATGCGAAAGTAGCTGAGATCAAGAGAGCCACTTAGAGTACCAATCAGGAAAGAGTCGTCAAATTTCTGTGGATCCCCTCCCATGTTGGAATCTGTGGAAATGAACGAGCAGAAGTGCTGGCTGATGAAGGAGACCATATTGAATACTTAGTACACAAGATTCTTCTACAAATTAGAGGTATTATCAGGCAATATCACCGTGACAAGGTTACTGAGGAAAGGAGGATAGAAGAACAAATCAGTGAATCTGTACGGTGGTACAATGTGCTTGCAGCTGGCAATCAAAATCATTATGCACGAAAAGGAGGTGGCCGCAGGAGAGAACCAGTAATCACAAGAATCCGTCTTGGATAAAAAATATCCATGGAGATCCAGAATGGAAACAACAGTTGAACAGAGGAGTTGCAGAATCTGTGGTGAGAGTGATGGACACCGCATTGACTACTACCTGAGGGTGTGTGAACACCTAAATGTCATTAGAAATATGTGTAGTATAATAAACCCCACATTGATTGAGTTAGGAAAATACTATTTGTCACTTATAGATACTTTTCTGAAGAGATTCCCCCATTTTGCACCCGCAAGATAAAGTAAGTACTTAAGGGTTGACAAATGTTATTCTTCTTGTTTGAGGAGCTGTTCACTTGAGACAGTTAAGCAAGTCCAAGCTATGTCTGGGTACAAGTGACAGGATGGACAACCCAGCGGATTGTCTTCCTATTGGGGAGTGTTGTACATGATGCTATGGCGGTATGTCCACTCACAGGATGGGTGGTACTCACCCCTCAGGGCAAAATTTTTAATTTTAAAATTTTAATCTACTACTGAACATCCTAGACCCACTACAACCCTCCATTCAACACCATAGACGCACTACAACTTTCTACTCAACACACTAGTACTAACTAGTACCTAGTCAACTAAGTAGATACTAGTCACAATAGTCAACTTTGAAGACTTAGAAATGCCACCCTGCCTACAAAGTCACATTTATACAAGGCACTCATTCTTCTTTTCAATGGAAATGCCGCCATCCCACTCTTCTTAACTGCATACTTTTTAATCACTAAACTCAAACTGTTATGCAAAGTTCAATTACGATTGCGTGCTTATGACAACTATTACAGAGACGGCTTCAGCGATGCCAATCATGTCCGTTTATTCTGCCTGAACGAGCCGAGCCCAAAATGTGAACACAGCGAGCAGCTGGGACAAACCCCTGGTATTTATGTAGAAAATTTCCACCAAAGATAGATGGGACTCCTGGTTCAACCTAGACGCCCACTGGACGTCTGGACGCCTTCTCCGCCTGGGAGCCGCCGGATCATGTTTTGTTTTGCGATTTGGATTTGATACTGCCGTTTGGCATCCCTATTCAACAGTCCGGTTGTACGACGCCTGGCGTACATATCGCCTTGGATCGCGGGATTGTTGGTAGATTTTTTTTCATGTGTTCTGGCTGGTTCACCCGGCGCGGTGACGGTGTCCGGCGCCGGCTTGGCCGAGAGGTGCCGGAAGTTGGTAGGTCTTGGTGGGCTCCTGGTGGGCCCTCAGCCGTGGTGGGCGGCTGGCTTCTACTCTGCCGGGGAGGGGGGGGGGGAAGGTGGGCACTGGATGACTTGCGTTTTAATTGGGGGCCGAGTTTTTTGTTTTGCTACCCAGTGTTCTCTGTGTAGGGCGGGGCCGGTGCTTGTCACCCTGAAGGACTCCTGGGACTACCCAGTGTTCTCTGTGTGGGGCGGGGCCGGTGCTTGTCACACTGAGGGACTCCTGGGACTACCCAGTGTTCTCTGTGTGGGGCGGGGCCGGTGCTTGTCACCCTGAGGGACTCCTGGGACTACCCAGTGTTCTCTGTGTGGGGCGGGGCCGGTGCTTGTCACCCTGAAGGACTCCTGGGACTACCCAGTGTTCTCTGTGTGGGGCGGGGCCGGTGCTTGTCACCCTGAGGGACTCCTGGGACTACCCAGTGTTCTCTGTGTGGGGCGGGGCCGGTGCTTGTCACCCTGAGGGACTCCTGGGACTACCCAGTGTTCTCTGTGTGGGGCGGGGCCGGTGCTTGTCACCCTGAAGGACTCCTGGGACTACCCAAGCATCTGCCTGTCTTCGATTTTGCGATTAACCCTATACGGGTACGTCAGGGCGCATCAGATCCCACGATCGTCATCGCCTCTAGATCAACAACAACAACACGGTATTCAAGCTAAATGATCTTTACCTGTGCATGTTTGAATGCTGGCATAAACTATGTACTAAACTATATTATAAACAGACACAGTTTGAAGTGAAGTAAGTGTGTTTAAAGCCTTAAAGTCTTAAAGTGATATAGGGAATAACAGAAGTAACAGAAGTAAGATACACTGGACGCCACAGCGACGGAGCTTACAGACGCCATTACACTAAATCCACACCACATCATCAGTTAACTATATAGAAGTACAGTGCCCATCCCGGTGAGAGGGCTATACAAAGTTTTAATACATTTTTTCTAAGACTTTGGCCACCTGGATTTCTACACTGAGGTTAAAAGGAAAATTTGTAATACATTACTTTTGTCATGGATCCTAGCCCAAAAATGTTTTGTGTCACTAATTGTTTCTTTTACAGGAATTCGGTTATACCATTGGCTTCTCAGCCCACCTCTATAAGTGAAAGATACTTACCACTTAATTAAATGTAATTAACTAGGAACTGGAAGAACTATGCCTACCGCTGAAATTACTTTTCACACAATCTCTTTACCAAGGGGTAATCACCCTAGATTGGAAATATGCAAATGTTACCCCAATTTTCAAGAAAAGCAGAAAAATCTCAGCGAAAAACTACCATCTGATCAGCTTGATATCATACATCTGCAAGTTCACGGAGAGAATCCTCTGAGAGGGAATCATTCAACATCTTCCAGTGAACAATCTTGTAAAATCGACCCAACATGGTTTTTGTAAAAATAGATCCTGCCTTACAAACCTGCTCACATTTTTGTAAACGGTAACCAGCTACTCAGACTAAGGACTTCCGGTGGATGTAGTTTACAGGGATTTTGTTAAAGCCTTTGATAAGGTACCTCATGAAAAACTGGCCAGGAAATTACAGGCACATGGAATAAATAGTATAATATTACACTGGATAAAACAATGGTTAAAACAAAGAGTCGTGATTAATGGAAATTAATCTGACTGGAGAAATGTGGTAAGTGGGGTCCCTCAGGGGTACATTTTGGGGCCAACACTTTTTGTCATATTCATCAATGACATAGCTGAGAATATTACAAACCACACCATCAAATTTACAGACGACACAAAGATTTATGGTAAAGTTGGAAAAGATAATGATATTGAAGCTTTACAAAGATATATAGATAGATCTCCACAAATGGTCAGTGGACTTCCAAATGCTTTGTAATATCGGCAAATGAATGACCATTCATATGGGGCATAACAACCCACGTCACGACTCCCAAAATAATATTACATTACAACAGATTGGTGAAGAAAAGGACCTTAGAATCAAAGTCCACCACTCACTGAAAGTTACACAGCAGGTAGGAGCAGCAGTCAAGAAAGCTAACCAAACACTTGGAATAATCAAGCGTACACTTGTCTGTAAGGGAAAGAAGCTAATCATTTAATATTATTAATGTGACAAGATACCAGAAATAAAAGGTTTATCCAAATAAAATATGTAATCGATACCAGTGCATGATGCATTAAAATTACATTTAATTTTACAATAGGTTCTGAAGATTATTTATTCAACATGTATATGAAGGCAGAACAATTCCTGTTGTGTCTCCTCTCAGTATAGTCCCCTAAGGAACACGAAGCCACCTACGGAACCCAGCAATACAGTCCACTCAGTAGCACAGATCTATACCAACAGTCTTGCCAGGGGCCACACTCAGTAGCACAGAGCTATACCAACAGTCTTGCCAGGGGCCACACTCAGTAGCACAGAGCTATACCAACAGTCTTGCCAGGGGCCACACTCAGTAGCACAGAGCTATACCAACAGTCTTGCCAGGGGCCACACTCAGTAGCACAGATCTATACCAACAGTCTTGCCAGGGGCCACACTCAGTAGCACAGAGCTATAACAACAGTCTTGCCAGGGGCCACACTCAGTAGCACAGAGCTATAACAACAGTCTTGCCAGGGGCCACACTCAGTAGCACAGATCTATACCAACAGTCTTGCCAGGGGCCACACTCAGTAGCACAGAGCTATAACAATAGTCTTGCCAGGGGCCACACTCAGTAACACAGAGCTATAACAACAGTCTTGCCAGGGGCCACACTCAGTAGCACAGATCTATACCAACAGTCTTGCCAGGGGCCACACTCAGTAGCACAGAGCTATAACAACAGTCTTGCCAGGGGCCACACTCAGTAGCACAGAGCTATAACAACAGTCTTGCCAGGGGCCACAAGAAATTATCCCTACTATAACAGTTAGTAGATAAGAAACTATACACTGTTTTATAGATATTTGTATCTGTTTAGTAGTTTTTCTTTTTAATACTTAGAATTATGTTATATGTGCCTATACTGAGTCAATAAATCCCATAACTGACACTAAACATCATCCTCTCAACAATATTGTCAAATACTTTCACCATTTGCTTTCTCTCACACTCACTAACATGCTCCCTCACACACTCACTAACATGCTCTCTCTCACACACACTAACATGCTCCCTCACACACTCACTAACATGCTCCCTCTCACACTCACTAACATGCTCCCTCTCACACTCACTAATATGTTCCCTCTCACACTCACTAACATGTTCCCTCTCACACTCGCTAACATGTCCCCTCTCACACACACTAACATGTTCCCTCTCACACACACTAACATGTTCCCTCTCACTCTCACTAACATGTCCCCTCTCACACTCACTAACATGCTCCCTATCACACTCACTAACATGTCCCCTCTCACACTCACTAACATGTCCCCTCTCACACTCATTAACATGTCCCCTCTCACACTCACTAACATGTCCCCTCTCACACTCACTAACATGTCCCCTCTCACACTCACTAACATGTCCCCTCTCACACTCGATAACATGTCCCCTCTCACACTCACTAACATGTCCCCTCTCACACTCACTAACATGTCCCCTCTCACACTCGATAACATGTTCCCTCTCACACTCGCTAACATGCTCCCTCACACACTCATTAACATGCTCCCTCTCACACTCACTAACATGCTCCCTCACACACTCATTAACATGCTCCCTCTCACACTCACTAACATGCTCCCTCACACACTCATTAACATGCTCCCACTCACACTCACTAACATGCTCCCTCTCACACTCGCTAACATGCTCCCTCTCACACTCATTAACATGCTCCCTCTCACACTCACTAACATGCTCCCTCACACACTCACTAACGTGCTCCCTCACACACTCATTAACATGCTCCCTCTCACACTCACTAACATGCTCCCTCACACACTCACTAACATGCTCCCTCACACACTCATTAACATGCTCCCTCTCACACTCACTAACATGCTCCCTCACACACTCATTAACATGCTCCCACTCACACTCACTAACATGCTCCCTCTCACACTCGCTAACATGCTCCCTCTCACACTCATTAACATGCTCCCTCTCACACTCACTAACATGCTCCCTCACACACTCACTAACGTGCTCCCTCACACACTCATTAACATGCTCCCTCTCACACTCACTAACATGCTCCCTCACACACTCACTAACATGCTCCCTCACACACTCATTAACATGCTCCCTCTCACACTCGCTAACATGGGTAAGCTTTTCTTTATTTAACTATACACCACCACTGCTGACTCCACCACCCGGTCATTTCTCAGGGCTTCTCTTCTACCCACTCTCCCTCAGGGCTTCTCTTCTACCCACTCTCCCTCAGGGCTTCTCTCCTACCCACTCTCCCTCAGGGCTTCTCTTCTACCCACTCTCCCTCAGGGCTTCTCTCCTATCCACTCTCCCTCAGGGCTTCTCTTCTACCCACTCTCCCTCAGGGCTTCTCTCCTATCCACTCTCCCTCAGGGCTTCTCTTCTACCCACTCTCCCTCAGGGCTTCTCTTCTATCCACTCTCCCTCAGGGCTTCTCTTCTACCCACTCTCCCTCAGGGCTTCTCTTCTATCCA